GTCAAGTCGACTGACTCCTCCACCCTATTCTGCTCGGGCGGAGGTTTCTGTAATTGCTATCTGGGGCTTGTCGAACGGACGGGCGCCTTTCCTTTCCCAGCATGCTTTAGTGTGACGGAATAACACTCTTTGGCTGCGACCTGATCCCCCCGAATGTCTATTACTCTATCCCCATCGGGCCCGAGGCACCTCATGACCTGATGCAGAGTTGAGGGTACACCCCGGACTCTGTGAATCCATCCTCTTCCCATCAGGAGATTATACGAGGGGTGAATTTCCACAACCACAAAAGTTTCCATAAGAGCTCGTTCTGCAGCTTGAACTTCTACTTCCACCATCCCGACGGGTTCCACCCTCTTCCCATCGAACCCTAATAAGGGATTTTCGGTGGGCTTGAGCCTCTCTGGTTTAATGTCGAGCCTGTCAAATGTGTCCCTCGGCATAACATTCGCACTGCTCCCAGGATCGATCAGAACTCTGCGCACCAAGCAATCTGCCACTGTCAAACTGACTACCAACGGGTCGTCATGAGGCAGTTGAACACGCTGCAGGTCTGTCCAGTCGAACTTTATCTGCATTGACGGGCTCTGCTGGTGTAGAGTGGACACATTGCCGACCCTTTTCTTCATCTGCGCCTGCCGCAGGCGCACCCGTAGCAGCTCATCTGACTCTTCACTAGGCTCGGGTCGACCATGGATAACATTGATTATACGAACTGGTTGCGAATTGTGGGAGCTTTGTTTATGACTCCTTTTTATTTGTTCCACTGGTCGATTCTGCTCCATCGCCGAGCCTTGAACATAACTCGCAAACTCCCCTCTAGCTATCAACATCTCCACTTGCCTCCTCAGGTTCCTGCATTCGTTAGTCTGATGTCCGAAATCAGAATGAAAAGCACAATGTTTAGTTTGATCCCTCTGCTCGAGGGGTTGTCTAATTGGCAGTGGTGGATGAAACTTGTCCTTGTTCTCCTGATACAGCCTTGCCAGAGTGACCTTCAGCGGAGTAATCAACTCTTCCTCCCTGGACCTTTTTTCGGCCTTCCAAGTGGTCTGACGTTGTGGCTGAGCCTGCTTCTGCCTGATCTTTGCCTTGGACTTCTCCTCGGTCGACACAAGCGACATTGTCCGAGCATTAGCTGCCTCCTCTTCTTCGAGGCGCACAAAGCCATCGGCTCTCTCATTGAGTTCATCCATGGTAGCCGGCGTGTTCACTACCAGACTGGTGTGAAAGGGAGTTCCGCGTGTCATGGCTAACTTGAAGGCTTGAACTGCCGTAAAAGGGTGGCATTCGATCACCATACTCTTAGTGAGATTAAACCTGGTAAGAAAGGCCTGGAGACGTTCATCCTTGTGCTGCCGCATCGTGAAGAGGCTCGAGATATCCTTCGGCGGGCGTTTGTTCCCATAGTACTGACTTATGAACCGATCGCACAGGTCTCTGAAACTGCCAATGGAGCTCCTAGGCAAGTTTTTGAACCAGCTGAGCGCCGGTCCGGCCAGGCTTGTAGGGAAACATTTGCACATTAAAGAGTCGTTTTCCGTATTCAGGGCCATTTTCAACTGGATATGATACACATGATCGATCGGATCGGTCGTTCCGTCAAACAGAATAAAGACTGGCATAGCAAACTTCCTTGGATGCGGCGCATTCAAGATCTCGTCGGTGAATGGTGAATCCACCGTCCGAGCCGCGGATCGGAGAGCTTCATTCTCTCTCTGGAGTCCAGCGGTAGCTCTGTGAGTTACGGTTCTGCCCTCCGAACCGTGATGAGTGACAGTAACCATGGAGGGCCGGTAAGACGGATCGAACGACCGTTCCTCTATGAACTCTCTTTGCCAAGGCGACGCTACTCGACGGCGATCAACCTCCATCACTTCCTCTCGGTCAAACCTTTCCCGCTGCGGATCAACGTGAGTCGATCCTTCGTGATCTTCAACTCGACGAACATTTGGCGGCAAATTGTCCATCATCATTTCATCACGGTGGTGAGCTGACTGATTGTTCTCGTCCTGATCGCCTTGATGCGCGATATTAGATGGAACACCTCCTTCTCCGACCGGAAGTGGATGCGAAACCGCAGGTATTTGCCGATGCTGCAGTCCAGCTTTCAATTCTGCATTTTCTTTTCTGAGAGCTTCAATCAAGTTCATCAACTCTTCAAGCTTTGTTTGCTGGACAGCCTCCATCGGATTGGAGCTTTCACCTATCATTATTCCCGAACGGAGTAAAGGCATTAATCTCAAGTTCGCGAGTAGATCTGAGCTTCGTGAGTAGGAATTTTTAGATCTGGCTTCTAATTCTCCGAATTATGCTCACTGTTTACGAGATCTGAATTGTCTGAACTCTAAATCCGTCAGATCCTGCCACAATCGAACAACTCGTGGTTGCGTAGATCTGAAGTCACTCCTGCCAAAGCTTCAAGAATTGTAATTCCTCCAGAGTAGGTCACAATCGCTCAGATCTGGATTCAAATCCCCAAGATCGAGTCTCGATCAACCGAATTGGTTTGAATCCATCCGATACTCCTCATTGATCAACCAAACTTTTATGCGTTTCCCACAGACGGCGCCAATTGAATTGTCTCCTTCTATTCGGGTTTATACAATTGAATACAATTGTATTCATAAATTCAATTGAATTTATGAATTGTCTGAACTCTAAATTGAAGATGCAAGAATCTCCTTCTATTCTTTCTCTCTCTAGAATTCTTACACCTCAACCCGGAAAGATCCCTCTCCTCTTCATTCCAACTCCTATTTATAGATACTTACAAGATATTTACAAGATATTTACAAGATATTTACTAATTGCTGGACCTGGGCCTATTCCTCTGTAAGCCCTGGTCACCCTTGATGGGCTTACTCCTGCTCGGCCCATATGGCAGTGTCTTTCTATGGGCTGACCCATGGCGCCGTCTGTGACCCATCATGTGGACAAAAAGATTGAAAGGAAATTATAGTCACCTGCATCCATGTGGACAAAAAGATTAGGTTGCTTAATTAATTGAAATTAGTTTGCTTGATTATTTTTCTCCAGTCACCTGCATCCATGTCTCTCTCCGATTTCTTCCTCTATCTGCTTCATAGTTTGCCCTAAATTTTATCTACCGTGACTACGAGATCGACTTCGACCGTCGACAGCTAAATACTGTCGTTGACAATGTCGATATTATCGAGGACGATGTTTAACTGTTAACGGCCGAGGTTGATGTCAACCAGTGTAGTCATTGTGATAAATACCAAGTCCCATGCCCGTCTCGAATCCTCCGCCCCATCCCTCATTCTCAGCACTTGGCAGTCCCGACCCGTTTCCACGGTTTCTTGCCTAACCCACTTTCAGATTGGAATCCAAGAACAATACTAGATACAAAGATTGTGAGTGTATATATATATATATATATAGGGAGAGAGAGGACTACCAGAGAAGACCCAAATCGAAGATATAATGTTAAGCGTGAATGTTAAGCTTGAATGAAGATATAAATGTTAAGCGTGAATGTTAAGCTTGAATGAAGATATAATATTAATGAAGATACATCGCGTAATGTATAAGACGGAGCCAGCTTAGGCTACAGGGACACGTGTTCCCCAAGTATCTAATTTATAAATTATTATTTTGTATAGTTTTTAAAATTTATTTTACATTTTAAAATACCATGAATTTGAATTTTTTTATACATATAAATATATAATTTGTAAAGTATCATTGAAATTAAATATTGGCTCGGCCTAAGAATCATTATCCCATTCATCAAGGCCTTATATATCAATAACATTATTCTAGATATAATATAATGAGGAATTGAGAAGATGGTAATATAGGAGATATTTAACAATTTAAACTACTTTTGGAGAAATTTGTGATCCTTTTTCGCATAACACGTTTTAATATTTGCGGAAGCGGGTACAATTGCCAATTGTCTTAATAATTGCCTATTTTATTATTAGGATTAAATAGATTAACCTTATAATATCCCCTAATTTCTCTTAGAATGAAACTTTTCAAAAATTTTGCATTGTGTTTCTTGAAGTTTGTTCACTTTTTACTAATACCCCTCTGTCTAAAAGAAAATTTCAAGATAGGATTAAAATGCCCATTTGTACATGTGGAAAGACTTTATTACCCTTATAATAATTTTTTTTTAATAAAATTTTTTTAAACCAAAATTCCATTCAATTCACTGTTCCTCTCTCTGCACCATCATTATAAAAATAAAATTATAAAAATGGTAGAGAATTTTAGTGGGGTTTAACAAGTAATTTTGTAAATAATTAAAGATTAAAATTAGTATTAGATATTTCTAAGATAGTTTTTCTTTCTTTTACTAATCCTCTGCCCAATTTTGGACAGATAAAAAAAAACACGGGTCCATGCTTCCTCCTTCTCTTTCCTTTTCTACGGTCAAATTAGGGAAACTTCTTGCATCCCTCATCTCTCCCATCTTTTCTCAATCATTCCTTTTAGTCCAACAAAGCATAAAAGACCTAAAACGTTTTTCATATCTGGTCTCAAGTTTTAAGTCTCTCCCTTCCTTAACATTGTCAAATGTTTACATTGCTCCAAATCACAATTGCCAACTATATATATATATATATATATATACTGATATGATTATGATACATAAAAAGTATCACTGAATTACAACTTGTGACTGTGAAATGTTCAAATTTATTTGGCTTGTCGACGATTGTTTGAATAATATAAGGGAAAATAATTTTAAACCAATTTCGCAAACTTATTTGTTGCGCTAAAGATTTCTACACCTTTGATGTGGTGAATGGAATCCAAATTTTGAGCTTATCCACTACATCAAATGAATCAAAAGTTCCTTGACTAGACAAATAGATTAGAATAATCAGTCTTATAAATAGCATTACTCTAATATAACTGATACTGTTTTAGGTAAAATTGGCACTGTTTGGGCATAATTGGTTCATGCTAGTGCTAGGATCAGGCTGAACTTGAAGCAACATTACTTATTGTATCAAACATGCATAGGTAAATAAACAACATAATTCATTAATGATTGGCCAAACCCAATGCATGCTCAAAAATACAGGAAAAAGCCAAAAAAGTAAGAGATTTGTAGCTAATAATTTTATTCTAATATGTATTGTTATCCAACAATACCAATATTATTATTTAATTGCTACTAAAACCACTTAAGAGCTAGCATGCATGCATAGAGTAGTTTACTGATGAGCACTTCAGTAAGGAGGCCGTCCATTAACATTGCCAGGGGGATCATAGTTGCAAGTGACGAACCACGAGCCACTAGTGCACTTCACCCTAGCACACCCAAGCCGGACCGAGTCGCGCCAAACCACCTGAGTATAGTGGCCACACACCTCACCCCCAGCACAAGAGTTGGAGTTGTGGTCATAGTTTTGCTTCTCAGCCACCCACAGGTCCACGGCAGCCTTGCCGGTGAAGTCACCACCGCCAATGGCGATGTTCTCGCCATATGGCCTATTGGTTGAGTGCTGAAGTGCGCAATCTTGACTCCTTTGATTAGCATAGTTCTGTGCAAACTCCGCCACTGAGTTGTCCCATGTCATTTCCCCGACACCCACAGCTGAACGGGCCGCGTTGTGGGCGTCAAGGTAGTCTTGGGGCAAATTCTGAGCTTGGGAGGAAGGAACCATTGCTAGGCTTAGGGCACAAAAAATGGCCAGTGATATCTTACCAAAGTACCACATTTTTGTTTGTTTTTCTATATTGCTAAGTAAAATTTTAGGGTTTGTGGTGAAAAATAAGGCACCCAAGAGGAGGTATATATATAGGAAAGTCTTGTGGAAAATTCAAATGATTCGTGCATGCATAACGTGTAACAAATTAAAAAATCTATTCAAGTCACCAAATTAAAAGAGTGACTTTTCTTTGGAGAAAATTAAAGCTAGACATTGCCATAACATTCCAGTAAGTATGAACAATGATCACCCAACCATAAGCATTAATTTCTCACTTGGATCCAAATGACTTGAATACTTTTCTTTTTCTCATTGATGTAATGTGGTCCTCGATCTGTTTTCCAATCTCAAGCAGAAAATGGAACTAGATTTTTAGTTCATTTTCTAAAATAAATTTTTTATTTTCTTATAATACATATATCTAATTATTAATTTTATTAAAAGGTGAAGTTTTCTAGTTTGGGTCCTCTTGGTTTGTTTTTTTTTTTTTTTTTTTTTTTTTTTTTTTAAATTAAGTTAAATCAAACACACATACATTCAAGATATGTCTCTAATAGGTCTTGAACTCTCAATCTCATATTTGAGGGAGAGAAATCATACCATTAAATTAGAGATGGTTTGGTTCTCAATAACTAGTAAATTTTGAATCTTCCATTGCCTTACTGATGAGAAGACTCACAAGATTGACTAAAAAGCCAAAAAGAGTTTTCCATGGATTCGATGTCTGGTCTCAAGTTTAACATCTCTCACTTCCCTCCCATGTCAATTGTTTACATTGCTTCAAAGTACAATGGCCAAATCAACTAAATATACATATAGATAATTAGATGTATATTGTATATATATAATTTCATCGTGTAGATTTTAGATTAGATGGGGTAATTATTTTATAAATTTAATTTATCGAGTGTCCAAATTTTCTTCAAAACAAAGTGAATGCAAAACTATATTTCTTATCAATATAAATAAATATATATATATATATATATTTATATAGTAAATTTGTAATTAAATTTATAAAAATCGAATGAAAAAAAAATTATAAAAGAAAAAAAGACATGGACATCTTGAATAGAGGTGGAAAACGTACCACACTTGAAAGGAACAGAAGCTAGCCATCGCAAGTGTTCCGGACCCACGGGACAAGGCACATCACAATTCTCGCCAGTCATTGCAAGTCTTCCGGACACGGGACAAGGCACATGACAATTGTCGCCTTTTTTTATTGTCGGCTAATTTAAGTCAAGTCTTGTAAGTCTTTGCTCAACAAAACATGTAGTAAATTTTCTTCAAAACAAAGTGAATGCAAAACTATATTTCTTATCAGTATAAAAAAATAAATATATTTATATAGTAAATTTGTAATTAAATTTATAAAAATCAAATGAAAAAAAAATTATAAAAGAAAAAAAGACATGGACATTTTGAATAGAGGTGGAAAACGTACCACACTTGAAAGGAACAGAAGTCAGTCATCACAAGTCTTCCGGACCCACGGGACAAGGCACATGACAATTGTCGCCCTTTTTTTATTTTTGGATATCACGCCAATTTAAGTCAAGCCTTGAAAGTCTTTGCTCAACAAAACGTGTAGTTTTTTTTTTTTTTAACTGAGTGTAGGCATTTTACAATATTGTTTGTAACATAGTTTTAGACTCTTTGTGGACTTTAACGATTAAAAGTAAATATGTTTAGAAGTGAATTAGTAGGAACATTTCACTGAATTGTGTAGAAATTCGAATTCGATTCAACTCATTCTCTCTCCCCTTTTTACTAATATCAATTCTATTTTGTAATATTTAAGAATCGCAATGAATGACTATTTGTGCAAAAAAAAAAAATGGTGTGACTCATGACTGAGAGTCTCCCATAAGCCACAAGGCCAACAATTACCGCGAGATGGGCAATACACGTTGGTTGCAAAGTCTTATATGTGGGTCCCATCTTCAACGACTGAAATTACTCCGTTCTAGAAATAGGCGCAAATGGCCCTCCCATGCTTACACGAACATTTATCAAAATTAAAATTAAAATGGGATACTCTTATAAACAATAAAACACTTAGGTTTACCATAGCCTTATCAATTCTGATTTTTATTTGGTACTAAAATACTTGTTCATTTTTTTATTTTGTAATCTCTCAAAAAAAATAAATATGTTCTATTATAAATTTAGATGTACTATTTTTTTAGGTAAAAGTGCAAACAACCGTCCTGAACTATTACAAATCGACAATTTACCTCTTTGGATTACAAAAATGAACAACTCAGTACCACAACTATCCAATTCACGCAAATTAACCCCTGAAACGCAATTCCGGCTACTTTCCGACCCACGTGACCTGTCATTTTTTTTTTAATTCCAAAATTGCCCTCACTTATAAATGAACCCATTTCGTCCATATGTTCTCTCTCTCTCTCAGGTCAATATATATATATATATATATATATATATATATATATATATATATATATATATGTATGTATTTATTTATAATACTCATTTGACTCATGAAATTACTAATCCGAATAATGGTTGACAAAGACTACCAAAGGCAGAGGCTACACATATATAGCAATTAATAAAAATTGCATGATAATTCATGTATTGTTTTATTCTAAAAATAATTTTCAAATATTAAAAATTGCATGCTAATTGTTCGCTTTTTTTTTTTTTAAAGCAAGCTAATTGTTGGCTTGAATGATATTTGAATATTGTTGTAATTAGAAAGTCTTATGTATATTGCTTACATTAACTTCAATAAGAAATTATCAAATCAATTTATCAAAGTAATATCACTTTAATCAAAATTAATTACAACACAATTAAAATGATATTTTCTAAGACCCGTTAAAATTAGCATAGAAATTAGATTTTGTGAAATTTGAAATTAGAAATTAGTCCAGTTAATTTTTTGAAGTAGTTTATATACATACATCAATATAGTAGTGTGTGTGTGTGTATATATATTCAACTAAACCTGAGTGGAAGAGAAGAAAAGAACATCTAACTAAAACAATACTTCCAATCAAAAGTTCATGTTTGGAGATCAAACCTTTTTTTTTTTTTTTTTTTTTTTTTAAGTTGTAGTCTAAAATAGGAACCCAACTTCAACTTCTAAAATCCAACCAAAATAAATAAATAAATATATAAAATTGCCATTTACAATTTCAGAGGCAATTTGAAAAATGGAGAATCAAAAATTGATGGCGGCCATGAGTGAGTTCGTTACAGTAAAGGAAAAATTGTGAGTGAGTTCGTTACAGTAAAGGAAAAATTGTAACAGAGATCGAGGGTTCGTATAGCACGAAGCTGACCTAGGGTTGTTGGAACCTCGCTGGAGATGAAATTCTTGCTGATGGCAAGAACCCGTAGGTTATTCAACTGAGATATTGTTCAGGCCGAGCATCAATGATCTGATCCAGGACAATGGTGAACTCGGCTAGAGCAGCGAGCAGGCCCTTGGGTCACCGAGCTTCAAAGCAATGATCATGTCGTTGTCGCAATACATGTCGGTGAAGTTGATCGTATGGCTCCGCCGTGAAATCCCACATGGAGAAGAAGTCGGATCTTGGCATGTCTTCTAAGGCAGAGGTGGAGTAGATTAGAGTATTGCTATATATATATATATATATATATATATATAGCAATACAAATATATATATTGACCTAAGAGAGAGAGAACATAAGGACGAAATGGGTTCATTTATAAGTGAGGGTAATTTTGGAATTAAAAGAAAATGACAGGTTACGTGGGCCGGAATTACGTTTCAGGAGTTAATTTGCACGATTTGGATAATTGTGGTACTGACTTGTTCATTTTTATAGTCCAGGGGGGTAAATTGCCGATTTGTGATAGTTCAGGGGGTTGTTTGCACTTTTGCCTATTTTTTATAACATTTTCAAATTATCATTTTAACTAAATAAGTGCAGTGAACATTATTTTATCTTTGAGTAAATTGCACTTGGACCCCTTGAGATTTCAATCAATACCACTTAGCGGATTATCAATGACATTTTTTACATTGACACCCCGTATGGTTTCAAAAATTTGCATTGACACCTCTCCAAATCTTTGAAACCATATTAAATTACTTTTTAACCCTTTGACTTGTCTATATAAATATAAAAAATGTAAATGGACAAAACTAACATCTTCACCTCAAACATTTCCCCACAATGCTGAAACCACCACCACCACCACCCACAACCACCACACCTCTTCTTTCCTCTATTCCTTTATATATATGTATGTACATATATATACATATATATAATTAGGTAAACTATAATACATATTATTTACCCAAAAAAAAAAAAGTATAATACATATACCAATATATATGTATATATATATATATATATACACACACACATTCATGTGCTAATGTGGATGCCAATTTGCCAAAGAGAGGTTAAGGCAGAGGCGTGAGGTCACTCCATTGATATCGAAGGAAATCCAAGGGATCGTGATGACGCTGCCAACTGGGGATCGGGTCGATGCTGACCAACTGGGTTGATAGTTTTTTACCTTTGCTGGACTCTTTCGGATCAGATGGAGTGGAAACGGCAATAACCAACGATGTATTGGGGGAGAAGTGACGTGAACCAAGTGATTGGGATCTTACAATTGAGAATTTGTAGATGAGTTCGACAGTGTAGTGATTGGAGAGAGAAATAAAGAACGGGGTGGGCGAGGTGAGTGGAAAGAGAAAGAAATAAGGGGAGGCGGTTGTGGCGATGGTGGGTGGTGGTTGTAAGGTAGAGGCTACGATGGTGAGTAGAGAGAGAAATAAATAAGGGTTGGAGGTGGCGGCAGTGGCGGAGGTGGGTTGTGGTGGCGATGGAAAGTCAGTTTTTTTTTTTTTTTTTTCAAGGTAAGAAGTGTTAAAAGTTAGATTAGTAAATATAGAGAGTCAAAACTCGGTACTCCAAAGTCCACCGAAGGTATTAACCCACACTATGTTATCAAGTTATCTGATAAGATCGAGAGTTTAGATGAGTGCGTATGTGTTTTTTCGCTTAGTTAATATATATAGATTCAATTTTTTCTTTACAATACTTCATAAAAAT